TCTTGATATTTCTTGCTGAATCATGCAAAACATCATTTTGGTTAATGTGAACTACAAATCATAGAGTTCCGTTTGTATTCATATTTTAATTTTAAAAATGTCATGTGAAAGTTAGAAAAGCAGCTTTCATTAATTATGAAATGATTAAGTCATTTATCATCACAGTCACCAGTGTGTGTCACAGTTTTTCCCAAAAGAAAAGATGAGACTAAATTAATGTTTTGTAGTAAAACAGCATTCAGATGCAAATTTGATAAAAGCAACACATTATCTCGTGATTCTTGTCCCAGAAGGTGCATCTGTTATTGGAACACAGCTGATGGCGCCTTATCAGTGTTTTTTTCCTTGTTTCACAGCTCCTGATTCAGACGAATCTGTCCTCATCAGCCCTGAAAAGCTGATTCTTTCACATGAACTACAGGGATTTAAAATGGAGGCTGCTTTGGTCGCACTTCAGTTTCGCTCCACCAAATTTTGTAGACCAGCTGCTGAGGCTGTTGGGGTGAATGTTTTAAATCGTCATCCCTGGCAGATTGGATCTAATTGATAGTTTTAATAAACAGAGCAGTTTTTTGCTGGAGTTTTTCAAATGTCATTCTGGCCCTCTAATAAAAACATTTCTCATTTCTCTGAAAGTGTCAAATCCCCTAATGGAAAAAAGGCAAAAACTGAATGAAGCTAGGCAAAATCCAGACAGGAGAGGTTCTATTGTGCTAAAATCCCGAAAAGGGAACTCATTATGGTCATAGTTTTTTAAAACTTGATTGAAAGGCTTCACCTTCATGTGAAAACTCAATTTATTGATTTCTGATGTATCACTGCTGCTGATATGAAAAATGGTGAGGAGCAGCAGGGCGACTCGTTATCTGAGTATTTAGAACCGTGTCAGTGGAATCTTCCATTAGTCCAAATAAAGACGGAAAATGCTCCATTTTGTCACCTTAATCCTGCCGATCTGTGTCAGTAGGCTGACTCCATGTGGGCCGCCTCACTTTTAATAATCAGTCTGAACACTAGTGATCCACATGATGCTTTATTTTACGCTTTGCTAATCCACGTGAACATTAAAATATCGAGTTTTGGAGCTTTTGAATAAAAATTGTGTTGATTGAATAACTTAACAGTGTTTATTCCTTCCACAAACTCAGCATTTGCTTTTTTGTCTTTTTAAAAAAAATCCATTTGGAAGTGAGAGCTTTGCCCGTGGATGCACAGCAGATATGAGCTGCTTTGGCACTAGCCAAGCTCGGGTGGTTTTAAGGTCCCCACATGTTTGCAAACCGGGGGGCGAAGGGCGTGGTGGGCCCCAGGGGACCGGGAGTCTGTTTGAGAAAGGATCATGATGTTTTTATTTGTTTACAGGGACAGAAAATCTTTGGTGGGTATGAGTGCACAGAAGACTCGTTCACCTTTATCTGGCGGCTTTTGTTGTAATGGTGGCCTCAACATGTGCTGGTGGCTCAGATAATTCACTAAATAAGATGGTTACAAGGTAGGTGGAGAACCAGACCAACCTATGCTGCTGTCTGAACCCCGCTAGCCTGGGATGACAGGGGCCAAACCCTCATCTCTGACATCAACAAGCAACAAACTAAAAAAGTAAAGATTGATTTGGATCTGGGCAAATATGGCTCAGCTACATCCAGGCTTGGCTTTGACGTCCATTTGGCACTGGTTCACAAATCTTTGATGTCAGAGTCCAGGGGCCAGTTTTTAGCAGCTCCCACTCAGCTGCATTACCACTTCACAAAACTACAGGCAGCTGTTGGGATTCTGCCAGACGATTTGAGAGAAACGAACGGCTGCCTGAGAGGTGGGGAAACAGTCTAATGGATTGTTTGGGAAGGGATAAGCTGGGAAAAAATGGACCAGAACGTGAAAGTAGAACTAGGGTTTCATTCTTTTGAGATTGTGTGTTTATGTGTTATCATGGCAAAATGTCACTAAGAAAATACTTGTTAACACTACATATTCAACCAGTTAATCTTCATTTTATCCTCTGTTTTAAGATTAAGATCCATTTTATTGAGTAGGTACCGTATTTGTTGTTATAGGGGATATTTTTTACAAGTTTATTCAAGTTTTACATCTGTAATTTTTCATGAGACGTAAAAAGCGTCTGCTTGGAAGTGGTGAACAGACCCTTCAAATGGGGATTAGCTGGAAGAATCTGGGATTTTGGCTTCTCTGTTAACATCAGTAGTTACATTTTAATAATCACATGATAAGTCATGGGTCAGAACCACCTTAAAGGAAGACCCCCAAGGCTACATTTAGCCATGATGACAGATGGACACACATGGTGTTAGTAGATTTAAAATCCTAGCAGGGATCTTAATGACATCGTTGCAAAGTCTTGAGGATTATTTTTCTTTCTAATAATCAGTTCAGAAGCGCTCACCATTATCAGTGTGTAAAAGGTTTAGGTGTAAAATAGATGGGTTTTCGTTTAGGCATCATTTGCCTTATTGTGTGAATCCCATTTAAAAGTATTGACCCAGATGTCTTTTGTCGTTTTTTTTTGCTTTCTCCAGCCGCAGCAGGGTATCGGCAGGCCCAGCGTCTATCATGCGGTGGTGGTCATTTTCCTGGAGTTCTTCGCCTGGGGCTTGCTCACCACGCCCATGCTCACGGTGAGTCCCGCTGCAGGCCGAAAGCTTCTGGTTTGGAGCTACCAAAACCCTGTTCCTCACCTCCATATTTTCTATTTGCGCTCTTTTCCAGGTATTACATGAGACTTTCCCCCAGCACACGTTCCTGATGAACGGCCTCATCCAGGGTGTGAAGGTGAGGACTTCAACACTGTCGCCACTTATTATGAACACCTGTGTTTTTAAGTTATGTGGATACAAAAATGTGCTGGCTATAAATATAAAATTCTACAACGAATATATCAGACCACCACCCAGAGAAAGGGTTTTTCAATAGCTGCCCTGAAGTATGGGCGCTGGTAGTGAAGACATGATTGTTTCTGTAATAGTATTTAGAATGTCTTTAGCCTCTTTACCTGAAAAATGTGAAAATTAGTAAAGAAAATTATGATTTCTTGATCAAGATATCAAAATTTGCTTATTTACTCGCATTCCTGAACATAAAAATAGTTTTAGTGGATGAATGCTCTGCATAATGCATTTCTGACTTCTCAGAGAAGCCCAGAGAGTTGTCTGGAATTTGGGGGTAAAAGGGGAATTCATTCTGGAGCTCAGGGCAAATGAAAGTCTGAATTAAATCACTTCACGATGCTGGATGGTGTCTGAGACAGATGGAGAGACAAAGTGTTCTCATAGTGGTCAGTATGCTTTGCAGAAAACAAGCCAGTAAACAGGCCTGAAACTAAAGTTAACGAAGCAGATGGACCTCAAGATGTCTTTCTTATTCTAGTTTAAGAAAGTTCCCAGAATGAGCAGAAGCAGACGACTTATGGAAGAAGGCTTTACTGAAAGCCACAAACACCTGGAGGACTGGAACTGATGGAGAAGCCAAGTCAGAGTCCATAAGGAATTAGTCATCTCAAAGACTGATCACACAAAGTTCTGAGGAACATAATGACAAGAGAAACTGTCTGAAAGGTTTTTCAAAACTATCAGGGAAGATAGGCATAGGCAATGTGACATTTGAGGGTTATAATGAGAGAATAGAACTCACTGTAATGTTTTAAGCTTTAAATGGGTTTTTGTAAGATTTCTAAAACCTTTACAGACTCTTCAGTCAGGGATTTTTCTACTGTTACTTATTCCACTGCTTTCTTTGTAGGGTCTGCTGTCGTTCATGTCGGCTCCTCTTATCGGGGCTTTATCGGACGTATGGGGCAGACGGACCTTCCTCCTGATCACCGTCTTCTTCACCTGCGCTCCCATCCCTCTGATGAGGCTCAGCCCCTGGTAGGGCTCGCTGCTTTCTGTTTGTCTGATGACTCCGTCTGCTGGTCTGAACATTAAACCCCCCCTCGTTTTTCCTCTTACCTACCTCCTCCAGGTGGTACTTTGCCATGATCTCCATGTCTGGGGCTTTCTCGGTCACCTTCTCAGTCATCTTTGCCTATGTTGCTGATGTCACAGATGAGAGGGAGAGAAGCACGGCCTACGGTCTGGTGAGGACTTCTGTTTGATGATTACACCTGCACCAAAACCAATAATGTACATTCCACTACCAGAGGCAGAGAAATACAAACTCACTTCATAACATAACAGACAGGTGACTTGGACTCGGGTGGCATGAAGCAGATGGTGGGAGAATTATCCCTCATTCTTGTAAGATACGCTGTTTATACCACCGCTAAACAGATATGACAATAAAAGGAAAGATATCAGTTTATTCTTTATGAATCTCAAACTATTTGTCAGTAAAGTAGAAAAAATAAAGCTGCTTTATCTGCCGCTGAATAACAAAATTAACAGATAGAAGCAAGCAGCCCGGCATTGAAAATGAAATATTTGGATTATAAATCGCCTAAAATCACACACCAACACACACCTGATGAAAACAAAGCACAGATGAGGAGGGAGGCACAGATCTGCTGGTGGATTATAGTAAAAAAAATAATAATTTGCTTTTCTTTAACCAGAGAAATTAAATCTTTCTTTTGATATACCAGGTGATTTATGCCAGATGATCAGAAGTGATCTAAATATTTGTTTATATAATTTTTTCATGGTGCAGAATTATTTAGCAACCATTAAAAAATATATGTGGCTTCTTTCAATCTGAAATAAAATATTTTAGTTATTTAAAAAAAAAAATCTTATTCAGATGTATTTGGTTGGTTAAAAAACATATGGACAAAATGGTTGCTACCGCTTTGTTCATGTAAGAGAAACCCGCAATGGTCACTGGAGTAACTTGAAACTGATAAAAGTGATAATAAATTAAAAAAATGACGGAAAATTAACCAATGAAAATCAGATACTGTGGTTCATTCATTCATTGTCCATAATGCTCGTTCCTAGTGGGGTAAAGCTAACATGCATGTTTTTGGACGGTTGGAAGGAGCTGAGTACCCAGAGAAAACCCACACAGAGGGAGAACACGTAAGCTCCACACAGAAAGCCGAACGGGGAAATCTCAACCATTTGGATTTAATTATCATTTTAGAAAATTAAAAAATGACCCCCCACCTGTTTTTTGGCCCACTTCTCGTAAGCAAGCTGCTCCGTTTGTCCCAGATTTGAAGGCTGCCTTCCCCACACAGCATGTTTCAGCTCCTTGTGCAGATGTTCAAAGGGATTTGGATCAGGGCTGATGTTAGGATAGCTCACATCAGAGTTTCTGCTGTCGGCCATTCATCTTTATTAGTAGCGGTGTGTTTCCAGAGCCTCCTCCACGTGTGGCAGTAGGGACACCGTTCTTTTCTGGGTACGCTTCATTTTTGCATCTATGGACGTAAAGCTGCTTGTTCTGGGCTTTTCGGTTAACATTTATATTACGGTATCCGCCACCAGGGGAGGTTGATACTCTGGCCTGAACCTTCAACCTCTCACTAAAATGTGCAGCTGTAGTTACAGGAAAATTAAGCAGCCTGGAGACGGCCTTACAGCTTCTATGCTTAACATCCTTCTGTAGAATCTTCTTTCGGGTCTCCTGAGGCAGCTCTCTGCTTTGCTTCCTGTAGTCCGTGTTGGGGTGGTGCACACCACGTCACCAAGGCTGCCTGTGGGCCTTTAAATAAGCAGACGGACACACCTCAGTTTATCACGTCCCTATAGTAGAATTACTTTTAATCTTTTCTCGGGGTATCATCTTTTTGCGTTTCAGTTCAGTTTGTGTTTTAAAATGACTCTGTAGAACCACAATTCAAAAGCATCATCTTATTTTCATTGGTTCATATTCAGGACATTTTTTATTCATTATTACTTACTTAGTCTGAAGTCATTTCGGTGACCTGCGTGGGGTTTTTCTTTTAAGAACTGAGGGCTTCCGACAGTTTAGTCCATGTGTGCTTTTCAACCTTAGAAGCATTAGGGCTTAGGGCCAGGATTAGGGTCAGGGTCAGGGTTAGTCCTCCCGGAGGGGCTCAGACTGTAGAGAAAGAACCACCTGAGGTGGTTCGGGCATCTAGTCGGGATCGTTTCCAGACATCTCAGCCGGTTTTGGACCGTTTTGGACTAACCGTCCTCCAGCATGACTCACACGGGATGTACGCTCTGACCCCTCTAGGTGTCGGCCACCTTCGCGGCCAGCCTGGTGACCAGTCCGGCCATCGGGGCGTACCTGTCAGCCTGGTACGGCGACAACCTGGTGGTTCTGCTGGCCACCCTCATCGCCCTGGCCGACATCTGCTTCATCCTGCTGGCCGTTCCCGAGTCGCTGCCCGACAAGATGCGGCTCAACACGTGGGGAATGCCCATCTCCTGGGAGCAGGCCGACCCCTTCGCTGTCAGTAAACCGCGAATGACGCAGACGCGTGTGGGATTGGCCGTTTGAAATAGAGTCAGAATAAGATGCATGTGTTTGATCCTGTAGCTGCATGACGTCCTTTCCCAGTTATTTGATTCTCTTCTCTGTTTCTGAACACAGTATGTGTGGAAACATGGGCCAAGGCACCTCAGTGTTCCTCAGTGCAGTAACTTTATTTCAATCATTTCTGCCTTAGTTTTTGGAGGCTTTTGTAATAATTTAGATTAAGTGAATGCACATTATATAATAGGCTGTAATAAACTATGAATCGTGGGTAGGCCTTTGATCTGACGGTGCTGGTGCTGTGTGTCCTTACCTTCTTCTTGTCTCTTCTTCAGTCTCTGAAGAAGGTGGGGCAGGATTCCACAGTTTTACTGATCTGCATCACCGTGTTCCTGTCTTACCTGCCCGAGGCCGGACAATACTCCAGCTTCTTCCTCTACCTAAGACAGGTGAGAACCAGGGGTGTCCCTTTACCTTTAGCTTTTACACACAGCAATTGCTTAGAAAAAAATATATATTTTTGTTTAGTTTTTTTAAAAAGAAAAGCTGTTGCACATCATGGCAAATGGAAAGGAAATGGCTCAAATCAGTGCTGTTATGGCATCAGGATTTGAACCGTTTCAAGAGTGTAAACGGGAGCACAAATAGTGCTACTGACTGGTTGACTCAGCCACTTAAAACACTTTGTGAGCGTCTGGGCCATCAGTTTTGGTTTTCTTTCCCCTAAAAGTTTTATTTCTGTTCCGTTCTCTGTTTGTTGCTGTGCCTTTTTGATAAGATACGGATTACTCAGAAGGGAATGCTTTAAAAATAAAAATAAAAACATCTAAAGCAACTCAAACCATACAAATGTAGTTTTGGATTGAGGAATTTATTTATTTATTTAGTTTATTGTAGACTTATACACATGGGGATATCGCTAGGTGTTTAGAAGCCCACTAGATGAAAAACAAAAAGTTCCCCAGTCAGCTACTTAAGTGAATTAATTTAACTAATTAAAAACAACAGAGTATCTTTATTTAAAAAAAACTTATTGAACCGACTTTGGGCATGGCAGAGGTTGCAGACTGTAGAAATTTAGATGTGTGATCAGAGCACCCACGTAGCAAAATGTATTCCATGTTCCATCACAAAGAAGCATGTAGATCAGCTCTACAATCATTCTTTGGGTCAAATTAGAATGACCTCATAACATGATCCTGTTGGTCAGAGGGGGAGTGGCCCGCTGGGATTTGTTTGTACTAAATAAATCAGAATAGGACATTTCCTCTAAAAAGTGATTTAATAATTTATTCAATAAAGCAAAATGATAATGTGTATTTACAAAAATAGACAAAATAACAAGAAAAGTTCTTCTTGTATTTTCATATTAAAGAAGATTTTATATAGAAGACTATGTTCTTTATTTCTGAACGGTGAGTTCAATAGTTAATTATTTGTTTTTAATGATTTTAGAAATATTTAAAAGGGTAATTTTTTAAATTTTTGAGTCAAATTCAGTTCTGGGCTGAGAAAAAAAACAATGATATCTATTTCTTAAAAAGGCAAAATCACGGTTAGTTTATACTGAAAGTATTCTCTTCCTCTTCTTTCAGGTCCAAAACTTCTCCTCCACAACCCTAGCTGTGTTCATAGGAGTGGTGGGCATCCTCTCCATCGTTGCACAGGTGACACATTTCTCTCCACATCTACACACAATCTGGTCCATCACTGGCAGTCAAACACGGGGTTCTCTCTAACAGAACGTGTCTTCTTCTCTGTTCTCAGACGCTCTTCCTCACTCTGCTGATGAGGACTCTGGGGAATAAAAACACTGTCCTGTTGGGTTTGGCCTTCCAGATCCTCCAGCTGGCCTGGTATGGCTTTGGATCCGAGCCATGGTAAGGCCCGAGTCCGTGTGTGTGTCCGACCGTTTGACACAAAGTAAAACCCTTCTGTTGACCACCACAGGCATCATTGACTCCTTCTTTTCACATATTTGATTGGCTGTTCGTGTGTGTGTGTGTGTGAACAGGATGATGTGGGCGGCCGGCGCTGTTGCAGCGATGTCCTCCATCACCTTCCCAGCAGTCTCTGCTTTGGTGTCGCATTCGGCAGATCCAGATAAACAAGGTAACACATCAACAGGCCCAATGGCATCATAGATTTTCCACACACACGTTGCTCAAGAAACTTTTGAGATAAAGCCAGTTATCTCAAAAGTTAAAACCGAAGCCCAGCTGGTGTTGGGTGTCAGAGATGAGTGTCCCGTTGCCGTGCAGGTGTCGTCCAGGGGATGATCACCGGCATCAGGGGCCTGTGCAACGGTCTGGGTCCAGCTCTGTACGGATTCGTCTTCTTCCTCTTCAATGTGGAACTCAACACCATGGACCCCATCCAGGGAGACTTCGACATCGACCCCCTGCCCATGCACAGTCCCACAGAGGTACGGAGGGTCAAGTTTAGTTTTAGAAAGAGGGCACCGAACGAGCACACAGCAGATATTCACATCAACTTTCAGGCTTGAACAACACTGATTCATTATTTCTTGAGAGTTATTATATTTCCCATCCATAATTAATGTCAGTACATTTTAAACAATTCTTATTTTATGCAAACAACCCCTTCAATTTATATTCTAGCTTAATTGTAAGTAAAAAATGTTAACTTTTTTTTTTTTTAATAACAGAAAAGTAATAAAAAGGCACATGAAACATGGGAGTTTTACTTTAAAGATAACATATTTTGAAAAAGTAGGCGAGGTGAAATAAAAACTGTAAATCACCTGGTGGAACATATCACATCTCACAAGTTAAAGATAAGTGACCTGAGGTTAGCAACACAAATAGTTACAAAAAGAGCCCTTCATTAATCAATGTCATTGATGTTTTAAGCAACTTCTTAATTTATACAAACATCCCCTTAAATGTATATTCTAGCTGAATTGTAAATAAAAAATTTTTACATTTAAAGAAATATCAGAAAAATGTAAAAAAAAAAAAAAAAGGCACACAAAACTTTAATGATAACAACATATTTTGAAAAAGTAGGCGAGGTGCAAAAAAAAACTGTAAATCACCTGGTGGATCATATCACGTCTCACAAGTTAAAGTCAAGTGACCTGAGGTTAGCTACACAGTTTAAAAAAAGAGCCCTTCAAAAGAGACTGAGTTTGGAGATGTCACTGTCATACGGCTTTAGTCAGGAAGTTATTTCGAACTTCCTTTATGAAAAAAAATACATGTATCGATTGCATTAGAAAAGGACACATCTAGTATGAATAAAGAACAGCTGTGATGTTTGGCCTGTCAGAGGACCTGATTCGACCCCACTGACCCTGGAGGCACCTTCTTACTGGTCAGCTGACTTACACGACTGCAACATTAACAGTGACGTATATTCTTTTCAGAGACGAATCGGAAATGCTCATTACTGCAACAAATACCGAACAACCCTCGGATGTGTGAAAGAAAGGCCCCGTACAAAATGGTGTTTCACCAATTAAAAATATTAGCTGTGTTTTGTTTTGGATAAGTTTGATAAAAGGAGAATTAAAACAGAGTTTCTTTAAACAGAAATGCACTCATCTCCACCTGAATGCATCTTTATTGTCATATTTATTTGAATACATTTAAAAAAATTAATATCTTATTCTATCTTGTGCTTTATTTTGTCCTATTTTATGCTATGATAAATATATATATTCTGAGATACAAGATTATTCAAATATCTCTCGTGGGGGATAGATAAAACCATTTCTATATTGTTCTATTCCAATAGCTGTCTAACTAATGACTATTTTATCAGAGTTTATCATCAGAAAATCTTTAATTAGTGGACTCAGTTTCTTTTGTACCAGAAGACAAAAAGAAAACCCCTCTTCTTCCCTCTCTCCTCCCCAGCGCGCGCTCATCCCCGGGCCGCCCTTCCTGCTGGGCTCCTGCACCGTCTTCATCGCCTTCCTGGTTGCCCTCTTCATCCCCGAGAAAACCCCCTGTTCCTCCTCCTCCGAGCTCTCCCTCAGCGACAAGCCCAACCCGGAGAGCAAAGAGTCCATGTCCTCGCTGGCGGGCGTGCACATCAACACCCCCCTGCCGGGCAGCGACGAGGAGAGCCCCCCCAACACCAGCGACGAGGACTTCGAGCCCCTGCTGCACGACAGCATCGTCTGAGGACGGTACGGCCACCCCGAGGGGACTCCATGTTGTTATCGATTGACGTTTTTGTAACTAAAGCAAAGAGTCAGTTTAAAGTTTGTTCCTCTTCTTTTTTTTCTTTTTTTTTTTTTTTTTTTTCTTCGCCACATGACAGAACTAAGTGTACTTTTATCATCAGAGGCTCCTTTTGCATTGACTCTTTGCTGGAAGATGGGGAGAGCTCTCTGCTTCAGTGGCCTGCAGCCGGACCACTAAAGACGCTCAGAGCAGAAGCACATGGCTGCAAACACGATGTCACGACTCGGCCGGAGCAGTCACCGAGCGTTTTTACCTTACTGGCTGAAGGAGGCACCAAGGAGACAGTCGGAGGCTGAGTTAAGGGAAAATTTGTTTTTTCTTTTCTCGGTGACGGATGCTGTTGGTTTTTTTGGACACGCCCACTTCAAACCCCCAAAAAACGGGAAGAGAGAATCATCTTTGAAGGTTTTTATTGAAGGGTTTTTGTTTTTTTTGTTAAGCTTGAAGTGTTCTGTTTTCTTGCATTTAAGAGGAAAATCTCTTACCTTTTTCGTTATATCATCTTAAAGCCGTTTCACTGCTGTGGTTTATTTGATTCTTGTACAAAGGAAACATACATATGGCAGCCAAAACATCAGCATCCATTTATACTGTTTTTCTTGTTTAGGGTTTTTTTGCGTTAGAGAAATATTTAATTCTTTAAAAAAAAAAGTGTACAGTATCTCACTAAATTGTTTTTGAGCCACTGCTCAAGAATGTGACAAAATTTACAGATGAGTCAACTACCTGAAATCCAACATGGTAAAATATCAGTACAAATCTTGTTTAAATGTCGAACAAAAACAGTGACGGGGATCAAGCAGTTTTCTGAAAATCAAACATACTCTAGTTAATCAGGAACGGTACCAAATGGCACTAAAAGCTCAGAAATAAGGAACTTCAAAAGAAACCTCCTCACTTAGTGTTTTTCTTGCTTTCACCAGTGATCATTACTGCTAGTCACACTACCTCTCTTTCTTTTTCTTTTTCCTTTTTTTTTCACATCCTGAAAAAAAAAATCAAACTGAATTTTTTTTTTTTTTATCTGTCATCGGTTTAGTTTTATTTTTTATATTAAAGTCACTTTATCAAAGTGCTGCTCACTGCTGGCAGTGAAAAACCTGACTGACTTTTGCATAAAGGTTTTCACAAACCAAAAGCTTCTGGCTCCCGAGCGCCCACACTCGGCTCGTCTTCTCTTCGGAGTGGCGCAGCAGCCTTCGTCCCCGCCGTCTCTCACAAATCTGGTTTGTACTCCTCAATAATTCGAGGCTTTTCCCTGACAGCAGTGTTATTTCTGTGAATGAACTCATACTTGAAGCATTCAGCAGAGATTTTGAGAGCTTTAGAGCAGATTTCAGAGTTTTAAAATATATTAACTGCCACAGAGTGTACAAAGTCAGTTGCTTCATGACTTTAAAATGTAAATGCACTTTTGAATGAAACCATGGTTTGTATATAATGTAATTGAAGTGTGGGATGACTTATCAGTGTAGATTTTCTGTCTTAGTCATGGTAATCCTAAGTGCTAAAACTGAAGACAGTTGGACTTCTGTTCCTGTAGAAGATGTTTAGGATCTCATCTGATCAGCTTTCGTAGTTTAAACTGAACGAAAGGCAACTCCCAGATATTTAGACTCCTCAGGTCTTATGTCCATCACTCTGCTTGTGTTTCAGCATTTTGTCCAATGGGAGCGGAGGATTCGTCTGGAAGTAAAGATAGGGGTGCTCAAACGTTTGGAACTTAGATTAAACTAAAGCAACATTTAGGATGGGAAGTAAAAACATCTTCAGAAACCTTGAAAAGAGCTCCTCTTGCCATGTATTTAGGCACAGAAGGTAAGATAAGCTTGTTTTTGGGGCAGGGAGGGAGGTTTTCCTTCAGTTGCATGTGCCTCAGTGACTTGGCTACAGTGTTGGACGATGTCGGTTTTCTTCCTTGTGCAGCTAAAAATGATGTAATACCAACCATCATGTCTTATGTCCATTCAGATTAGACCAGGATACGGACACAAACTTTTTATTTAGATTTGAGTCTATTTACATACACTAGCTTCCTGCTCAGTCTCGATTTTTCTGTTTAGTCACACATGTTACACGATCAAAACAAAACAAAGTGCGCCTGCACCTCCTTTTTTTTAAGAACGTAAAAAATAAAATCAAAAGGTGTCTGATTCAAGTGATTTTTAGTGATTTTCTACTAAAGCTTTTACTAACTCTTATAATGATTCAAATAATCAAGTAACTTTTTTTTTTCAAAGATGAACCAGGTTTCAGTTACAGATAACCCCAGAGCCACGGCCACAAGACAGTAGAGTGTATGTGAGGAGGGATTGTTAATAACACTAAATAACCACCTATATCAGCAGCAATGGGTCTGAGTGAACAATGTAAATAATGTACATTGATTGGATGTCTACATGTGAATATAAGAGTTGTACATGAGGTTCATGTCGACACACATTGTCTGTTGTCTCGTCTGGAAGTGTACCAGCCAGTTGTTGGATATTAAACAGTACAAACACGTTTGACATCTGTATTATGGATTCCTTTTTCCCACTCCAGCTATTCGATGCCTCCTCCCACGTTTCACAAAAGTCTATCTTTAACTGTCTTTAACCTCCATAATATCACTCTAACAAACCCTCAGACCATAATCTTTTCTTGATTTTTTTAAGGCATGGTAGATTTTAAAACTTGTACTGGCAGTAGGCATTCTACTCACCACAAATCTGAAAATGATGAGTTAAAAATGTATGCAAACTTTTGCACTGTCCTGTATTTTGTCTTAATGCTCTTGTTATGTCTCGCCAGTGTTAAAAATGAATGCTTTAGCCTTCAGTATTTAAGTAAAAACCCCTGAAGAGATCTCTGACAACATTAATATTGTTTACATTTGAGTTTTAACGATAGTGAGACACTATTAGACGCGTATCACGTAACGAAAAAGAATAACATCTATTTTTTTCTTCTAGTTCAGGCAGGAACAGGAAATACTCTTACTTCTGGAAACAACAGCTGAAAACAACAGCAATCCCTGTCATATAAAGTGTATTTCCATTCGTAGAGAGAAATTTAATCACAATCATTACCTTCACTTCAGCACAAAGGGCTAAAATGATATATTTTCTTTATATATTAATTGTTCTAAATTATTTACAAAAAATGATAGATGAAGAGTGAAATAAAGTGGTCACATAATTAATAGGACTAAATTACGTTTCTGGTCCGTAAGGAACTTGGAAAACATCTAGTACGACCTCTACTGGGCAATTCAAGGTACCGTTTCAGAACATCCAATCAGAATCTGATTGTGGGTCATGTGACCTTTCTGCCAAGTAGAAGAAAGCTGGAATAGCAACAACAAATATGGAGGTGTCTCCGTTCAGCTTTACCCCCGAGAGGTACTGGACGGAGGAGAAAGAAAGGGCGCTTATAGCGTTTTTCTCCAGTAAGTGTGACACCATACGTTGCAACTACCCATTAATACATTTGAAAGGTTGCCGTCGTTGTTCGCGTTGATGCGTTGGCGGAAGTAGCAACATCTGTTGGCAACCGTTGCTAGAAAAGACCGACTTTTAGCAACCTGCGACAGGAAACGGTACAGCAATGGCGACTAGCAACTGAAGTCCAGTGAGCTGCTTCTCTCCCAAATTATGTGAGGAATTCTGTCAGTGTTTTCGGAAAATCTTTAGTGTAATGACTATGTATAGGAAGACATTTTTTTTTTTAAAGTTTGGAAGGTACCGAATTTAAAATGATTTAAAGTGGGTTGAAATTACTCAAATACTTTTATTATAAAAATTTAGCGTTTGCCTTTCGTTGTTTAACGCAAACCATTTGTGTTCCACATTTACATGATATATCACAGTGAACAATATTAGCAAACAAAGTTTGTCACATGCTATAAATGAGTTATTTTATCGTGTTTAATTAACGTTTAAATAGCGCCCTTCTCTGCACACAGGTCTAATTTGACAGTTCTGACAGACGTTTACTGTCAGGCTTCATCTGTGTAAGATTTATTTATTTATTTTAATGTTTATTCATTTAGCTGTCACTTTTATCCAAAGTGACTAGAAGCAGACTTTAGAAACGGGAACCTCTTCAATTGATTTTAATTCCTATGAATAAATATGCAAACCAAATAGCCAGCCAAAGCCACAACATTTGATAAGTCCTTGAATGCACCATTGGAGAATCAACACAACCATGGAAGAAGGCAGCAATGTCAGGTTTATTCTAAAAGTTTCTTAGTTTTATCATATGAACGGGGATTATTGTATGGTTGGCCTGTGTGTGTCTGTGACCCATGTATATTTTTAGTTAATAAAATAAAATATCTCTTTAATTCTTTTATCATGACTACATATTTGCCATCTTACCTGATCTACTCGTTTTTCTTTCTTTCCAATCCTGTACACATTTTTAGCCCATCATAATCCACACACATAAATATAGATGGATAGATATTTATACATGTGTATGTCATTTCTCATTTGTCAATTTCCCAGAGCACAGTTGCTTGTGGAACCACAAGTCAGAGAGCTACAAGAACCGGCAGCTGCGATGGAAAACTCTCCAGCGCCTGAGGATCCTCCTCTCATCTCACCCCCCTCCCATTCCTTTCACAGGTAACACGCTCTGTGGTATCTTTAGCTGCATTTCTTGTATGCATCCAATGATATTTGCATTAAAGGGAATCGTAGTTCATTTCCAGGTCTCTTCAACCCTTTGCAAATACAGAATCCAGTATCTCTTTGACAGATTTGAGTATATAGCTATGAGTAACAGGTCTAAATGACGATTAGGGGGCTTATTAGGGATAATCCTATGAAATTCCATTTGTGTATCCTCCTCTGGTATGATCTTTAAGGGGACTGGGATTAAGTCATTCATTCAAATATTTGAATCTAGTTATATTTTACACATATTCCCCTTTAGAGGTGATGAAACATGGGTAGTGCAATGTGCCTCGGGAGGGATTTCAATTTCCCTTGATGGAAAAATAGCCCACGTATCTTTGTTTTGTTTTTTTCCAGTGGAAGACATCAAGAACAAGTTCAAGAACCTTCGTACCACCTTTCAGCGTCAGCACAAAATGGTCCGAGCCAGCCAGGTGGTCGGCCAGGACGAGGTGTTTGTGCCTCAGTGGAAGCACTACCAGCAGCTGACCTTCCTGCTGGGCAGCTGGGACCAGGACGACGACAGCGAGGGGCTGCAGGCCCAGGAGGAGAGCCCGCCTGCCCTCCCCTCCCCAGGACTAGTCATCTCCTTCGGCCCGAACACGTCGGCGTCCCTGAACGCCAGCCCTTCTTCTTCTGCCCCCTCCAGCGTCTCGGCGAAGTCCTGCTGGACTGAAGAGAAGGAGCGGTGGGTCATTTCTTTCTATTCAGGTAAGCAAAAAACAACAGTGACTTTAGCTCAGAAAAAACGAGGTGCTCCCACTGCTAACAAAACCCTGAGGACAAAGTGGATTCTTGACTTTGGATTTGCTGGCGTTGTTCTCCACAGAGCACAGCTGTTTGTGGAAGAAGAGGTCTGAAAACCACAATAACCGACAGCTCAGGCAGAAGCTCCTGGAGTCCCTGAGGAGTCAGGTGTCTGACGACTCCACCTCTTTCTCAGGTAAAAATATCATTCCGCCCCACTATGTGTATTGTTCTATATTTATGCAAAAATACACAGAAATACATCATATTTTTACATTTAGGCTTGTAGAAAAGTCAAATATGAAAGCCAAATATACATTTGCCAACCAAGAAAATAATTTGGTAAACACAACTGAATAAGTTGCCAAGAATTAAATCATTGTGACTTTAAACCTTGTTGGAAAGAATACCATTATATCATTCAAATCTAAATCCACAAAATTAATCATATGTGGATGTACAGAATAGAGGGATCCTAAAGGTATTTATTAGGTGTCTTATAGTGACCATTAACTGCTAGATTTTCCCTTTAGGAGTTCATAACTTCTGCCTTGTTGTCTTGCAGTCGAAGACATAAAATGCAAGTTCAAGAACCTCCGCACCGTTTTTAACCGTGAATACAAGGCAGTGCTGGCTAGCCAGGTTTCTGAGAAGCACTACGTGTCCAAATGGAAGCACTACCAGCAGCTGCTCTTCCTCTGCGAGTCCTGCGACGAGGACGCCGCCGACCTGCAGATACTCGCCGCCCAGGAGGGCCAGGCCATGGAGTACGACACCCAGCCTGTGTCCTCCTCCCAGACTGACGGCGTCCAGCCCAGCAGCACCTGTGCCCCCTCCAGCTCCGGCCAATGCGACGGTAGCACCAGCGCCGCCCTCCAGGAGTTCCTCTCAGCAGCTGCAGACTGTCTCCAGACAGACAACCAGACGCCTGCTCCCTCACTCCCCGCCTCTCCATCCCCAAAGTCCTGTGGAGATCCATCCCTGTTGAATCCCTCTGCATCCGGTCCGGTTCAGCCGGACGGCCGGGTGATGGCCGACACGCGCTGCCTCTGGAGCGAGGCCAAAGTCCAGCAGCTCATAGCTTTCTACTCTGGTAGGTGGCATCATCGTCTGAAAACTGACGCATTCCTGTTCCTATTAGCTACAGATCGGTTTTAATAAACAATCAGAACGGACCGTATGTTGGTTAAGTGCATGTAATTAGATGTTTATTCTCATGTTCATGCATTAGCAGATGCTAGAGGCAGCAGTGGTGACAGTAGAGACAGAAGGACGTGGATGAGACAGCATCTGAGCTGTGGGGTTACCTGGTTACCAGGAATCACTCTGTGGGCTATCATCAGTAACCCTGATCCTAGCCAGTGTAGCGCGAGGAACGGAGGGGGGGGGGGTCTATGCGCCCTGTTTGGGGGAGTGAAGGCCAGACGCGCCGCCATATTCTGGACCACCTGTAACAGTTATCAAACACCCGGGAAGCCTCATCTGGAGGTTAGGCAGTGGTCAAGACAGCCAATGAGCCGGACTGCTGGAGGTTAAGGGGCTTGTTGATCTACCTGATGTAAGATAGAACATGGTGGCAGGATTCTGGCCACGTGGCCAGAGAAGTTCAGCTGGTCGTCAGTTACACGACAATGGATAAATGGCAAAGACTGGGTTGTTCGACAGGAAAGAGCAGAAACAGTTCAGCTGTAGAGAAGTTGAATCAGTCCAGTTTAGCTCAGCAAGCCAGGAATGCAGACTGTCATTGTTTGTGTTTGGCTGATTTTTTTTTTTTTCCGTGACGGCAGAGCACGGCTGTCTGTGGAACCACAGGTCGGAGAACTACAGGAACCGGCCGCTGAGGCAGAGCCTGCTGGAGACGCTGAGCGGTCTGCTGTCGGACAGCGAGCCGGTCCCCTTCTCAGGTGCCCGCTGGCCCCTTTAGCCTCAGCGGCCGGACACAGGGCCGTCCGGCACGCCTCCACGTCCCGCTCATAACGGCCTTTTGTCCCTTGTCCCGCAGTGGAAGACATCAAGACAAAGTTCCGGAACCTGCGCACCATCTTCCAGCGGGAGCACAAGGCGGTGAGCTCCAACAGGACCTGCGGCTCCGAGGACTTCTACCTGCCCAAGTGGAAGCACTACCAGGAGCTGATGTTCCTGTGCGAGTCCTGCGACGAGGAGGAGGAGCCGCCCCACCTCCACGAGAGCGCCCCCCCCCCCAGAGCACCCCGCCCTCGCCCACGCCCCCGGACTCCCAGCTGTCCACCCCCTCCTCCTCCCCCTCCACCGCCTCCTCCCTGCCGGACGGCAGAGCGGGGGGGCGGCGGCGGGTGGGGCCCCCGGCGGCCGACGAGCTGGTGGCCCTGATGAGGACCGTCTGCCAGAAGCAGACGCCTCACGCTGGCTTCCTGCAGTACGTAGAGGAGTGTCTGAACGAAGCCCCCCCCGACAGGGTCAAGACTCTAAAAAAGAAGATCATCCAGACCATTCACGGCGTTTTGGAAGACGTTTAGCGCCCGTTCAGGGTCACCCAGCACCATCAGCCTGCAGCCAGACACTTTCGTTTAGTTTTTTTAAATAAACATTTTGTGCCAAAGGATCCTCCAGCGAAACCTTATAAAACAAGCAGAAAAATGAAAACCCTGAATGTTCAGGCTAAAAGACTTTGTGTCCCTCTGTGATGTGACAGAATTCAGTTGATGGCCGAGCTCATCATTCTCTGTCAGGTCAAAAAGATACCAAGCTCTCATCTGTTTACATTATTTAACACATTCTGATGCTAGCAATAGTTTTATCTAAATGTTTGAAGTCTGAAAATGTCTTTTTGGGGGGGGGGCATTGTGTCAACTCAGAGATTTTACTAAAGACAAAAAAGCTGCTCAGTGCAAAAAGTTTCTTGTGTAAAGAAAGTAAACCAAACTCTGTCTTAAACATTTATGTTTTGTTTAAATTAAAATATGCAATAATGATCATTTGTAGAACAGAGAGTGGACATCGTTGAAACGTTTTTATTTGATAAAAAACTATTTTTCTTTCAGGGTTCAGTGTTGGAATTAGACTCTACTTTATCAGACATGTCATCATGCATAGCCAT